TTGCTAATTAGCACGTCGCTTCTGTACTGCAGATTGAGAACCTTCTCCACTATGGTGGGGTGCCTCTTGTCTCCACCTAAATTGTAGTCATTATTCCTATGTTTGCGTCTGTGCAGAGCAAAAGGCTCCACTGCACAGTTGTTGGGAAAATTTGGATGAATCCTGTCTGAAAAGCATTACTTCTGTGTGCCTTTTTTGCATTGTGGGATCAAATCCTGTCTTCCTGCTCAAAACCAAGCTGTCACTGTTTAAAATGGCATTCCCCCCCCCCACTCCTTTCTCTCACCTTTAGCTGTGGGCTACAGTAGACAGGCCATTCAGTTCAAATATACATTGTAAATAGTCATTGTTTAAATTCAGTTTACAAGGAAGTATCTTTTGATTGCCCAGAGGCTCCATGTGCCCTAATCACTCAGAATGTCTAGAGTATAGATAAGAGTCTGAGCTTATCATGAATAGCTTCTCAGTAGCTTGAATTTACATGTCTAAGCAGACCTGGAGATGGGTTCAAGTTACTCAACAAAAGTGTCAATACAGGCAATTAGAAATATTCTAATCTCATTGTTACAGTGTGATTGACTGACATTTCTTTATCTGTTCTGTATGTGATGACCTCAGAATCTTATTGTAATCTCTGCATTCTGTCATCAATTGCCCTGTACCTGTGTGCCTATAAATGCCCTGTAATGGTATTGAAGCTTTGCAGCAGAGTTCAGCTCTGCCTGCCCGGAAATGCAGCCTGCATTATCGTGAGTGTACCGTGGGAACCTTGGGGTAAATACAATAAAGCCTCCGATGATCTGGACGCTTGGTCTTTCCCATGAACCCGAGTTTTATTCCCTCTTCTCAAATTGAGATTCCGGGATTCTGACAAAGTCCAGTGCCTGCTTTCCCAGTTATTTTTTCTTTTGGGGTTGGGGACCATTGCAAAGAGGCTGCTCTAAATAGGGAAGTTGTGTCCTTCTGCCTAGCCTTGCAGCAGGCACTTTGCCAATGGCTGGTTTCCCTTTCAGCTTCTTTCTTTCCGTGGGTGCTGCTTGTTCACACGTGAAGTGCTCAGGGTGGTGGGGGATCAGGAAAGGGGGGGGGGAAGCAAGGAAAGGGAAGGAGGTGGGGGAAGGAGCAGCAGCGGTGTGGCGGGACTGGGACTCACCGCAATGCAGCACAGAATCCCCTGTTCTCTCTGAGCTTCGCTCGAACCCACACAATGGCTGGAGAGAAATTAATTTTTCCAGCAACAGTATATGGTTCCTTGTTGTCACACAAAGTATTTTTGAGTGCCTTGGTCTTGAATGAGTGATTACAACCCATTAGCTTTACAAACCCTTGCTCCTGGCCGATAAAAACTCTTTGAAGTAATCTGCTTCTTATGGATCCACACCGCTGGCAGGGTTTTGCCTTCTCTTTAGGGGAGTGGCTCTGCTCCTAATGAGCTCTCGACACCCAAAATTCACCATCACATCACTGGAGAGCAGTGAGGGAAGGGTGATCAAGGAATTATATATTTTGACTGTGTTAATTGGCAATAAATTTAAAAAAAGAGTTCCAGATTAATCCGGGCAAGCTCTCCATTAAAAAAAAAGACTGGCTAGTGATGAAGAAATTCCAGTCAGCAGCGGGACGTTCAGAGGAATTCTTTATTTGCCATGAACATGGGAGAGAAGGCTCAACAGAGCTCCCTGGCCCACTCAGGCAAACTTGCAACAGGCCTTATATAGTAAATTTATGAAAACGTCCATTATTTCACAAACCCACATGGTTCAGAGCATGCGCTAGGCTTACACCTGGGTTTTGAATGTCTTGTTGTGCCACAATACGCAATAATTGTTTAGTGGCACTTCAGACAGATTCTAGAAGGATGCAATTTAAATTATTTGCCACGAGAAGCTGTTTGCTCAGGTCTAATAGCTGTTCTTACCATTTTGCATGAAATCCAAGACAGAACTCTTGAGATAATAAGCCCCAATAGAATGGCCCTTTGCCTTTTGTCTGACCATAACAAGCCATCTGTTGTGGAATCTGTGGATCAAAATACTTCATTTATTCATCGTATTTGTATGCACGCTGAGAAGGTGAGGCTTTCATTTTGAAGGGGTTTGATGGTGCCATGCCAAAAATCTCTCCTACATTGTTTTCAGCCATTCTCATTGCTTGCACAGAGAAATCGAAAGGAGCAGAAATGTTCAGAGAAATTCTCTTGGCTTGGACTAGGGATTCTCTAACGTTGCCAAGGAATGTTGCGACATGTCCCATCTGCCAGTGTGCAGTCCTATTTCTCCTCTGTCAGCTGTCAGCTGTGCTTTGGAAAGCTTCTCCGGGAAACCTGCTCAACTGCTATAAAGGGTTTTATCATATTTTGGGTTCTGCGTAAGGCTGCCAGCGTGTCGGGCCAGACACTGTCCTGACAGAAGGCAGTCCTCTGTTTGAAGGGCTACCCAGTCGAGCCCTGATCTAAAGCGGAAGAGGCAGAATAAGGAGACGCAGCCGCGGGCCTTGGCTTTGCCAAGCAGCAGTTGACGCACGCCGCAGCTTGGGTGAGATGACTGGGACTGCCTTTTCCATTCTAGCAGTTAGTCCCAGACTTGCCTCTGTGCATATAAAGCTGCACGTGGAGGTGCATCCTCTCTTCTGGGGAGACACTTCCTCAAGTTTGCCAGTGCACAAGGGGTCACTCTACTTGAAAGTGAGTCAAGCAAGAATCATAGATAGCAGAGTCAGAAGGGGCCAAGAAGGCCATTGGTCTAAGCCTGCTGGCCCAGGACGCCAGTTTACTCCACCCCACAGCCAGAGCTTCAGACCAGGGATGTGTGCCTCAGCTCAGCTGCATGGGATTGGCCTCCTCCAACATACATCTGTGATGGGTTTCATGCGGCCTTCTGTCTTCCGTTCTTGCCCAGCTGCAGACCTTCAAACACTACACGAAATGCATTCGGTCGGACCAGGCCTATATATCCATTTTGCAACTTTTTTGTCTTTTTTGGAGAAGGAGAACGTTTTTAATATGACTTTGGCAACTGTATTATTCCTCTGAGTCAACATTTATGCAAACATATTTGGAAGTAAGCCCGGTGAAGTCAATAAGGGAGTAAGCACATTTAGAACCACACGAAACAGAATATTAAGGCTATTATCCTGCACGCAGCTCCATTATTTCTGGAGGCTTGCTGGTTGGGTATTGCGCACACTGTCAAAAGGCTTAGTGCTGCCATCTAGCCGCAGTTTTTGAAAGCTGCAGAAAGGACTCGGCTACACACTGTTCAGGTATGTGTGGATGCAAGGCCCGTGCTTATGGGGGCATTTGCTCTACATCCAAAATGAAGCGGAGGCACCGCCTGACCTCAAACAGCAGTTGCTTGCTGTAGCATAGTAAAACCCTTCAGTACTGCAGCAACAAACCTTGGCTTGATAAAATCAGATTTCCAGGAACAAATGCCTTTCTTGCTGGCCTAAAATCCCACAGGAGGTTTCTCTGGGCTGGCTCACCACTGAAAACATTTTGCATTTGCTTGTTTGCTGTAATAATCGGCCTTTCCCAAGCTTAAGTCTCCAAATGAGATTTGACTACAATTCCTATCAACCAATGGTCAGGGATAACTAGAATTGCAGCAGGGCCCCTGCATCTGTTGGGAATAGTGCTGGGAAAATTCAGATAAATCCTGGCAGAAAAGGGTTGCTTTTATGTGCCTTTGTGTTATAAATTCAAATCTGCATCCCTTTCTCAGGAAGCACCTGATGCCCAAGCCAGGTCACTGTTTAGCATTTGCTGCTGGTTTAAGAAGTGGAAACTAATAGCTGGCTTAGAAGCTGCCATGGCTCTTGTTTTGCTGATCAGTAAGAGCTGATAAGGCTGCCAGGTTAACAGCATTGCAATCACCCTTATTTGCATGCCAAGACTCCATGATCATTATGTTAATACCCTGCAATCAAATGCCATTGTATTGAGTCCCCTTTGCAGACCTCTCACCTTCTTCTGACTGAGTTCCCCTTGTTTCATCATCAACTGCCCAGCTGCGGGGGGGGGGGGGGACCCATGTGACTCAGAATCTATAAAACACTCTCTGTATGCTCTAAAAGCTTGTAGGTGGTGGTGAGAGCCACTACCAGGTAGCATGCTGTGGTAGGTAACTGCAGGGGGCTTGGATGGTCTCACCAGTAAAAACGGTGGGGTTCAAGGCCATTTTAATCTTCCCTATGGGTCCGAGTGTTCATTCCTGCCATTGGTGAGGAGACTCCGACAACATCCAAGAACCTCTGAGAACTGTGCTACAGTTCTGTAAGAGAGGCTGTGGATCCACGTCATAACAGAGAACACTCCATCTTCTCGCAGCATGCTGGCACCAGGCGTTAACACGGCACCGCCGTAGCTGGCAAGGCTGGAAAATCGGTTTGGTCTACACTTTGCTGAAAGCCAATCCCATGCATCCTGCGCTGCCCCAAATCCCAGGCCCCACCTGGCTCTCGCAACTGGAAATCCTGCTCACCTCCAAAGATCCTCTAATGCCAGCCAGTTTATTTTATTCTCATTGCTCAACGTAATTTTGCCAAGAAACAGTGAATACGGGTTTGCTGGGGGGTGCATTCAAAAGCACATTTACGGGTTATTTAGGCACATGGGAAAAACATGCAGCATGTAGGTACCTGCAAAGGGACTACCAAGATGGAGCCCACACTGGGAGCTTTTATAGCCTCCCAGGTACATGCCCAGTTTGGAGAAGTGGTGCAGGGCCGCTGGGGCAGTTTGCTAGAGGACGTGAGAGTATGGAAGGAAGGAGTTGCAGGACAGGCAACTATTCGCATACTACGGTATACAAGCAGGAACAAGACTTGCAATATGATTTCCTGATCAGTCAGTATTCCACCGTTAGTCAAAAGCTGTTCTTCCAATGCCAGGCTTTCGGCAGCCATATTATAGTAGGGATTTCACTCATTTTGTCCTGACTGTTTCTATGCAAATGCACCAGTAACAAAACATTATCTGTTTGTTTGTTCCAGTGAAGAAATCAATTCAAAATGACCGCTCCAGGAGGAGATTTCCAAGTGAAACGGCAGGGGCTGTCCAAATCTTCCAGGGAAATTTCTTCTTCACTTGCTGGCATAGAATCACTCTCATCCCGCACCTGGAAGAAGTCAAATTCAGATATCACCAGAAGGTAAGACTGGTGGCATGCTGAGATGGGTAGGTTTGCGCTAGGTGCAATTAATCCTCTGCAGCACTGAGCTCTTAGGAAGCATTTGCAAAGCTTCTCCTATAGAGGGCCGTGGCATGTCCCTGCCTTATAAAAGCGGCATTTCAGTGGAAAACCTTGCAGAAAAGGACATTAGGGTCATTTTCCTGGCCCTGTCCAACCAAGAAGAGCTTTTGCAAATATCTCCCTCTTCTGGATGTTTAAAAATACACAAGCGGGTCTAACAGTAATAAGTGTGTTTGCTCAGATGAGCTGCCTAGATCAGGGCACCAAACTCTTTTGGCTCCAAGGGCCACACCAGATATCTGTTAGGGCGGCAGGAACTGCACACCACTCTTGCTCAAATCCACCTCCTGCCCAGAGGCAGTTTGGAGGCCTTAGACCTGATTGATTAAAACAACACACCCATCAGTAATGATGGTTTTCAGACCACCTGTTAACCCAGGAATCCTGGCTCCTGGCCCTTCTCCTTCCTCTAATCCACTCCCCTGGAAGATCCTGACAACCTACCCTGTTGTCACCTGGAACTTTTTCAGTTATAAATCCCAGAAAATAAGAGAGAATGTCCCAGGAAAAGGCTCTGTTATTCATGCCATAGAAGCCCTATTCCTAGAGTGTCCCAGGAGAGAGGCAGAAGCCTTCAGGCATGGCTTCTTATGGCACTTCAGGGGACACACCAGGAACAAGGTTCTATGGTAGCAATCCAGAAGCTCATTTCTAGAGCAGTTTCCTTTTTTGATTCCTCTGTCCTGCCCCCCTAGGGGGAGGCTGTCAAACTGGACTTGGGGACCAGCTGTAGCTCATAGGCTACCCACTCTGCATCCTGTCAGCAGATACTGTTAGCCGTAACCTTATGTTATTCGCAAAGTCATGCCTGACCCATTGCGACCCCATGGACATTCCCCCAGGCTCTCCCAGCCTCCACCATCGCCTGGAATCCACCTGAGCCTACCCCCACCTCCCCAGTGACCCCATTCAGTCACCTCAACCTCTTACACAGCCATACATTGCAACTGGGAAAACCATAGCCTTGACTATACGCACTTTCGTTGGCAGGGTGATGTCTCTGCTTTTTAGTATGCTGTCTAGATTTGCCATAGCTTTCCTCCCCAGGAGCAGGTGTCTTTTAATTTCTTGGCTGCAGTCCCCGTCTGCGGTGATCTTGGAGCCCAGGAAAATAAAATCTGTCACTACTCCATTTCTTCCCCATCTATTTGCCAGGAAGTGAGAGGACCGGATGCCATGATCTTAGTTTTCTTAATGTTGAGTTTCAGGCCAACTTTTGCGCTCTCCCCCTTCACCTGCCTCAAGAGGCCCTTTAGTTCCTCTTCACTTTCTGCCATGAGAGTGGTATCATCTGCATATCTGAGGTTGTTGATATTTCTCCCAGCAATCTTAATTCCAACTTGTGATTCATCTAGGCCCGCCTTTCTCATGATGTGCTCTGCATATAAGTTAAATAGGCAGGGCGACAGTATACAGCCTTGCTGTACTCCTTTCCCAATTTTGAACTGATCAGTAGTTCCATGTCCAGTTACCACTGTTGCTTCTTGACACACATACAGGTTTCTCAAGAGACAAATAAGATGGTCTGGTACTCCCATCTCTATAAGAATTTGCCACAATTTGTTGTGATCCACACAATCAAAGGCTTTAGCATAGTCAATGAAGCAGAAGTAGATGTTTTTCTGGAACTCCCTAGCTTTCTCCATGATCCAGCGTATGTTGGCAATTTGATCTCTAGTTCCTCTCCCTCTTTGAAATCCTGCCTGTACTTCTGGTAGTTCTCGGTCCACGTACTGCTGGAGCCTAGCTTGTAGGATTTTGAGCATAACTTTGCTAGCATGTGAAATGAGTGCAATGGTGCGGTAGTTTGAACATTCTTTGACATTGCCCTTCTTTGGGATCGGAATGTAAACTGACCTTTTCCAATCCTGTGGCCACTGCTGAGTTTTCCAAATTTGCTGGCATATTGAGTGTAGCACTTTAACTGTATTTTCTTTTGGGATTTCGAGTAGCTCAACTGGGATATTGTTGCCTCCACTAGCTGTGTTGTTGCTCAGACTTCCTAAGGCCCATTTGACTTCACATTCCAGGATGTCTGGCTCGAGGTCAGCAACCACCCCATCGTGGTTATCAGGGACGTTAAGGTCTTTCTTGTATAGTTCCTCGGTGTAATCTTGCCACCTCTTCTTAATCTGCTCTGCCTCTGTTAGGCCTCTGCCATTTTGGTCCTGCTTTCTCCACCAACAGCTTGAGACACCACCTTGTGATCGCAGGTGTTCCTTTCCAACCCCTCCCCACTTTGCAACATGGATTTTGTGTGATGTTGAGGTCATGCTTGAGTTACTCTTTGACATCATACACCTTAGCTTTTCCCCGGACTTACATGGTAGGAACTAATAGCACTTCATCTTGAACTTAGTTAATCCACTCAGATAGAGATTGAGGATTAATTTTGTGGTCCTCTCCAACCCTGCAATGGGATGTCAGCTGCCCATCCAAATGGACAGAATGATTCAATATACCAGTTGTACCTGGAACAGCATTGCTAGCACCCAAACCACACTAACAGTGAAGAACAGTTCTGCCAAAGAAAACCAGCATGACTCAGAAGGTGCTTAAAAAAACCCAAACCCTACTTTTTCCACCTCTCGGAAAATACGAAGGAAGTTATCTCTCAAAATGCCTTTCAGTTCTGCCTCGCTCCAACCTCTCTTCAGCAGCTCCTCAATCAAAGCTGGATATTTGGAGACATCCTCCAGGCCTTTGGGATGTCTGTTTGCAAACAAAACATGGAAGGAATTATTCCCCATGAAACACATGCTTCAACTGTTCCATAATCAGAGGGGTAGAAGAAATGTGCTTATATTTTCCAGAGCAGGCAAGGCCTGAACTCACTTAAATTGCTTTTGGAAATTAAAAAGTGGTCACCCGATTTGAGTTTTGGGTTAGGATTAAGGATTAAGGCCCAACAAAACACATTAGTATCAGTAACAGTAATATCTCTATTCTTCCCAAGGAAACAAAGGCAGTTAATAACAATGAAACCACAGTGCCAAGAAACAATAAAAGTGAGTCAGAACCTAGCAAGCAAGCAAGCAAGCAAGCAAACAAACAAAACAATCCAGATAGCAGAAAAATGCTGGAAAATGTGCATGGCCCACATCAGCTTAGAAAACCCTCAGACAGGGCAAGAAGGTGGACAGTCCTCTGTAGGATAGACAAAATTCCACAATGCAGGTGCTACCACTGGGAAGGCCCTGCCTCGCATGCTTGCATTCCGACAGTGCAGAGCAGGGCTTCAGGTATTGATCCAATGCACAGAAGGATGTGCAAGGAAGAAGCAGGTTTTTCCGTCATGGTTTTCCTGCATTGTTCAGGGCATGAACCAATATTTTGAGCTAATTCCAAGTGCGAAAGTGAATACATGACCAATACTGCAGAGCGTAGGACACAGGTCCCGTCCATCAAACTGGGCAGCGCCATTTTAAAGCAAGTTTCCAAATGCTTTTCAAATTCATAACAAACCATGCAAAGGAAAAAACAGTGCTTACGTTTTTTCCTGGTTCTGGGCACTGAAGTGCCTGGGAAAGTTTCCGTGGCTATTTTCTGCATGTTGTGCAGTCATTAAAGGCAAGCCATATGTTGCAAGATGATGGGGCACTGCAAAAATCCCCCAAACATGGGCATCCTAAAATACTGTGGGACAATTTCTTTAACGTAATGTGCAGATCACTTGTGTCAGTGGTGTAGATCAAGGCAGCCGTTTCCAGGCCTTGAGCGATGCAGACGCAAACCCTGCTTACCATCGTACCACTTGCTCGACAAGGAGCAGGTGGAGAGCAGCCAAGACTTCTGTGCAGAGTAAACATTTCTTGTTTAGAACAAACAAAACATTCTTAAATCCCTGTTTAGGTATCAGCCAGGTCAGTTTGGGAGCAGCTGACTTCTCTGTTCCAAATACTTGCAAGATGTTGACCTCTAATTAGTAAACATATAAAAACTGGTGTTTCCTGTTCTGGCAGGGAAATGCTCAGATGGTGCTTTGCATGTGGGAAGAATCACCCAGTGTTTGTGGAAGTCGGCTAATTGATAAGGAAATGAAGCTTAGTCATCTCTTGCATCTCCCATAATGATTGCCCAACTTTCTCAGAAGCAATTGGATAACTTTCTTAGAGGTAATTGCGCAACTTTGTTAAGATGATCATAAATTATAAAGATAAGCTGAGTGTAATCATACAGTCACAGTAACATGGAGTTAGAGGGCAACTTAGACATCATCCAGCCCTGCGCAATGAAAGTTCTGCATCCTGGGGCACAAGCAGAGCATCCCTGATGGATAGCTGTCCAGCCTCTACTGAAATGCCTGCAGAGAAAGAAGGCCCATTGTTTCCTGGGTCAAAGGGTTCAAAAAGGGACTTTGGAGAAATCCGCAACAGAGCTAAATGAGTTTGGATGTTATGGATCTGACTTTGGATTCCACCAGTTTTTTCTGAGTCATGTGAATTCCACTGATTTACAAACCATTTTCTAACTTGTGGGGAAGAATTGACGCAAATCTGCACTCGTACGAATGCATGCTGGCCCGAGTGCAAGAAAATGGTCGTGCATCCCATTAAAAAAGGCACACACATGGTTTTGTCAGTGATACCTAGCAAATTCACAAAGCACGGAGGAAAAAGATTTTTAAAATTCTGCATATCCTCGGGCTCCTGTAGTGATCCTTTTATTGGGAACCTTTGCCTAATGCTGAGCTGAACTCTGCCGCCCGTAATGTCCACCCATCCCATCTAGTTCTGCCCTTTGGAACAACAAATCTGCTTTGTCTTCTGTATGGCAGCCCATCAGATATGTGAAGCCCCATTCATAGCTACTTCATCTTCACAGGCAAAACATACCTGTCTTGCCCATCCTTCCCGCAGGTCTTGGGTCAGGACTGCTGCTTTTAAGGAGTGCCTGCCATTTCCACTGCTTCTGCAGCAGAGAAGGGCCTCAAGGTCCCACACCTTTCATGTCCTGCAGGTTCAGGGTAGCACGTGGCAGGGTGGGGGGGAGGGGGACATCAGGCCAGAGATGCTCGGGGTGAGGAGGGACTTCCTTTGGGATGGCACAACTCGCCAGGGGCGCTGTGAGGGAAGCCTCGATTCACTTAAGCGGCATGTCGGTAGAAAGCAGGGAAAGAAAAGACCAAGTCCCTCTTGTTCACCTACATTGCTGCCACTGGATGCATCTTAAAAAGATTCCTTATCTTATTAAGGAATCTAAATAAGAATCTTAATAACAGTTCCCGGAAACCAGCTGCCCACCCCTATGGACTGCCTTGAGTAAAGAGCTGATCTCTCTTCCACTTGCTCTGGAGTCAGATTGGCTTGATGCAAGGCAAATCCTAGGAGAGAGGGGTTGGTCTGTTCACAACTCATAGTTTACTAACTTGTTCACTCCATCATAGTCTCCACTGATGCCGATGTGTTCCGCACCTATGGTTGCCTTGATGTAATCAAGATGATCTGAGAAAAGAGAGAGGAGAGAGCCTCTGTATACGGTGGGGCAAAACAGTAGCACAACTTGGAAAGTGACCCCTGTGTAATATGGAGAGAGCATGGAAAGAGCAAGTCGCAAAACCCAACGTTCAGGGAACTCACTGGGTGGCGTTGGCTTGGTTGGTGTAGGGACTGGGCCATTCCTCTTGTGAAAGAGCCTTCGAAGGTTGTAGAAACAGAGTCTGACTCAGATGAAGAGTAGGGCCCATAATCTACGGTTGAAATGCCAAGGCCAAGAGAGCTGGAGATAAGTCACCAAGAATCAGAAAGTTTAAAATTTGGTGGGAAAGTGGGGGTAGACCTAACATCATGGCGGCAGGTTAAGGGGGTAGACCACCTGAGAGGCATCAAACATACAGGCAAGGTGGAGCCGATTTCAAAGTGTGATTTGCACTTCTCAGTTTGCAAGGGACAAGGCTATTCAGGGAGGAATCCACTGCTTCTCACTTAGCTGAATTGCTTCAGTGACTACTATTCTAACTTCCTTTCGTTACTGACTTCTGCAGTGCTCCTTTGTACTATAGAGCTGGCTTAGCTGCTCAGCTTTAATGTAATAAAGCCTTTCATTAGAAAGTCTTTGTTTTGGTCTGCTTGGAAGGAGTGGGAGAATTGTTTGTTTGCTTGATCAATTGATTTTATTTATATGCCATAGGCTCTCTGGACAGCTTACTTATGGTCAGATTCACAATAACAGCAACAGTACGGTAAAACAGTAATAACACTAAATGAGAAAAATTAATAATAATAATCAACTAATAGCAGTAATTAAAAGTAAATTAAATAAATTACTAACCTGGGGAAGGGGATACAAAACAATTAACCAATAATAAAATAATTATAAGGTAAAAGGTAAAGGTTTCCCCTTGACGTTAAGTCCAGTCATGTCTGACTCTCGGGGGCGGTGCTCATCTCTGTTTCCTGGCCAAGGGAGCCAGCGTTTGTCCGCAGACAGTCTCCGTGGTCATGTGGCCAGCATGACTAAACACCGAAGTGCACAGAACGCTGTTACCCGCCCACTGAAGTGGTACCTTTTTATCTACTTGCATTTGCATGCTTTCGAACTGCAAGGTTGGCAGGAGCTGGGACGGAGCAACGGGAACTCACCCCGTTGTGCAGATTCGAATCGGCAACCTTTCAATCAACCAGCCCAGCAGCACAGTGGTTTAAACCACTGTGCCACCTGCAGTCCCAAAATAATTATACACATCCATAAAATTATAAACCCATAAAATTACAGAATCAAAATGGTAGCAATGCCTAAAACTTTCAAAGCATCCTTTAAAATCAAGCCCAGCAGATTCGTTCTCCAAAATATCTGTGAAACCAAAAAGTCTCTAGTGCTGACGCCAGCCTAATCTCAAGAGTCCCTTCATTTCACCCTAAACTACTTTGAATGGGTTTTGAAGGGTAAGGCCCATGTTTGCCACCTTGAACACCTCAGAAGTCTAGAACCCAAGGGAGTTGCTTCCTCGGTGGATTGCCCCAGCGGCAGCTCCAGTGCTGAAGGTCACCCCCTCTGTGATTGCACAGCAAGCAACGCTCAAAGGAAGCAACACTCCGCCATGTAATTTGATGGACCAACATGTACATTCCATATGAAGGCCCAAGGGGCATGATCCGAGTAGGACATTCATGCCTAGGTCTTGTTGTGCCTTCAGTGACTCCTCCCAGGCCGATATTCTCAGCTCCGGGATGTTCCTTTCCAGTAATATTGTGGCCACTCCTCCAACACACCTCTTTGCATGCCATTTCTGGTGGCGTCTGAAAGAGCTGATTGTGTGAACAATACCAAAAATGGAGTCTCTTCCTGTGCCAGGGTCGTGAACTGTCGTGCCAGGGCGATGCTGCTGTGAGCAGGCGTCATCCATGCAGCCCATTCCTACTCAAGCTCTGGCTTTTGTCTTCTCGGTTAGAGGGTCCTCTAAGAGAAGCAGATCAGGCAATGGGTAACCTGATTCCGACTCCAAAGATGAGCTGTTTCTCCTTGGTGTGGAGGACTGCAGCTCATTAAAATTCTCTTGAAGACTCCCTTTTGGCCAGCATGCGAACAGAATGCTGGACTGATGGGTCCAGCATAGTTCTGCTTGTGTTCTTAGGAGTGCCATGTCCATCGTGCACTCCAAGACTAGTGCATTCTTGGTATATGAGACCACCAGATAAATATTTGTAGCTTAGGGTCAAATAAAGCAACCCAAGTGTAACAGGTGCTGGATCACAGCCATCACCCAAACATTTCAGCCTACCCTCTTCCCCAACTCTAGATGGAATGGCCACAAACCTGCCACAGTTGAAATGTCAACAATGTCATTGCCACAGGCCAGAATATCTGGATAGAAGGTCACCATGATCATCCCATTGTTCATCCTCTGCAAGGGGAACAAAAATCAGTACTTTGTATCTCTAAGAGACACGACAAATGTCCAAGTAGAAAAACCTCTTGCGAGCACAGGTGGAAAAGTCTTATTAATTCAAATTTTACATGGCAACTTTGTTGTTTTACTGCAATATACTAACACAGCCATCCCCACCCCTTGAAATTATCAACTGCAAAATATAAACGTGTAGCATCTGTCAAAATAGTAAAAACATATGATTATCAGATAGTGCATATCCTGGGTGGAGAGGGAGTGTAATGATTCATCAGATACCCATATAAAATATCCAGGGAACATCTGAATTTTCAAAATACGTTCCTCACCAACATTGGCAGGAGAAACTCTGTTAGGGGTCAAATTAGTTTCAGCACTGTTCTGCACCAGTACTGGCTGATATTTAAGATGCATAATTGTACCTGGAACTCTTCTGAAGATTCATTTTCCTTACTGATTTTGCAGTGAAAAGGAAAATCAAATCTCTGCTGTGAACCTTCCCCCTGCATGATCCTTCACAGGCACAAGAGATAAACTTCACCCACCAGCTGATGCAAAATATGGTCAGGAACATTACTTGAATGGCCGCAAATTGAGAAGGCTGACGAATGACTGAAAATGATGGGTGCCTTGGAGACTTTGAGAGCATCCATTGCCGTTGTGTCAGAGGTGTGAGATAAGTCTATTATCATACCCAGGCGGTTCATCTCCTTCACCACTTCCTAGCACAACATAGACAAAAGACACCTTCAGTTTTGTCATGCTGGCTAACAATAACATGCAACATGTACTTGGCTACAGTAGTGTCACTGTTCTGGCTCACATCCTGCCTTTTTACTTTGAAAGGGAATGTACGGAAAAGCCAGAAGATTGACGCACATCTCCATGCAGTAGAAATCTCTGAGACAAGAGCAGAAGTTGCAGGACTCATTATCCCCCATTTGCCTTCAATAAACTTATTAAAATAATTCAGGTTTATTAAAATCTAAGGCAAAGACTTAATTTGAGCTAATATTGCAACTTTATTCCAGGGTGACCTCCCAACATGCTGAATGCTGAAAGAGTTGTCTGATTTATCTCTCCCCTTGCGGACCAGGCAAGCTTTTCACCTTTTGTCTTTTTTGACTGTTCAATGTAAGTAGAACAGAATATCGATGCACATATATTTAAAATCTTGTTGAATTTATTTCTGTGCTATATGCCTGTGTATATATTTGTAGTTCCATAGATATCCTAGGAAAAAACTCAACAAGATGTCAAAAAAATGCAAACATGCACTGGGAATGGAGGGAAACGTGTGTTGGGGCTGCCATGAGGAATAAGCAACAGAAAGCTTCCACAGCTGAGCTTTGCATACAGACTCAGCTCCCCTTAAAAGTGGGGAGAATGGTGCCCTAAACAGCACCCCCTCCAGGTATAAAAGATGCGTGTTTGTTTGCACAATGAGATGTTCTCAAGCTGCGACCTCCCCTGTTTTCAGAGTCACCTCTACCTTCGTTTTTCCTCCTACATCTAACCCATTCCGTTCTGTAAGGATGTGCATCGATGGCATTTGGGCCAAGTCCCCAGAGGCAGAGATGAGTCCTTCAAAAGAAAAGCAACTGTTCAGAAAATTCTGATTCTGCGACAACAATAGCTTGATTTTATAGCATTTACAAATTACACGGCCATTGTAGCCCCAGAGGCCTGGTTCAGCCAAGGCACCTCACTCAGGGATACTTGGCAAGGACTAGACCACCTGTGCCAGTGATGATATGAGCTCATTGAATCTGGGGATGCGACATGGATGCCGTCTTTACATGCATCTCTTCCTAAACACCAGCCTGAGCCACTCCGGAATAGTCTGTGCTGAACTCGTAGGCTGAGTGAAATCACAGCGCATTGGTGGCACTCCTTCAAAAAGCCTGCAGGTGAGATTTTACAAGCTTTCGCAGTGCGTGCCTAAGTCCCGGATTCCATCCCTGGCATCTCCAGTTTGGAAAAAAAAATGATCAGGAAAAGCTCTGCCTGAGACCCTGAGAAGCCACTGCCAGTCAGAGCTGACTATACTGGGCTAGTGCTACTAAAGGTCCAGCCGGGGATAAGACCATTTCATATGTTCCTCATTCTGTGCATAATGAAGCAGCTACTTTCTGCGCACAGGCAGGGAGATGGAATTCTGAATGGATAGAAAGCTGGAACACCAGCAGGAGATTTCTCAGCTCTCTCAGCAGACACAGCTCGCAGGATTCTCTGGATGTAAGACCCAGATAGACTTGTAGTGCAGACATAAAGGAGTCCTTGCTGGGGGAGGCAAGATCGCTTCCTCAGAAGAGAGACAGGGGACTTTGTGTTTGCTTACTTTTCCAAAACCACTCAAGCGGTTGGTGACGGGATACAGGCTGTGTACCTTCTGCTGCGTTGCTGACTGTGCCCTGGAAAGCAAATCCAAAATACAGACATGCATCAAGGTGGGTCCCACGTTATTCAAAAGCAGGTGAGGCAGAACTGGAGGAGAAGGGTGCCGAATCTTGGGCCAGGAAAGTCTGGAGGAGGCTCACCCCTGCCTGTCCCTTCCACCTGGGATTTTCCACTGGAGGCAACAAGGATAGCCAGGCACCATTGGGCAGAATCCCAGTGCGTGGCTATAGGTCAGAGGGCCACTGCTTTAACGGTGTAGCCTTCTCAGGTTAGGGTGCAGAGTCCCAGCCCTGCTCGTTTGAGGGCTCATCAAGATATGTCTTTTAATGAAGCAACAGTGCTGCACGTGGAGGATTCCCTGATGCTGCAGCTGCCGGCTCTTTCCCGGTTCTTGACTCAGGGTACTAAGTTCCTTTGCTTTCTTGCATAAAGAACGGCAAGGGCACTCCAAAAGTAGGCAGAAGAGTGTCACCAGAAGAAGGGACCGTGTGCACTGCAAACAAAGATGCGACCGGCACACTCACTGGTGGCCAGTATCTATTGCATTAGATCACCACTGATTCACAGCAGCACAGTTTGTGCCGGGTTAGCCAGCAGAGAAAGCCAGAAATGGGCATTTCAGAAGAAATCGCTATGTTGCCCAACAAATGTATAATACCACCGCAGGGACGAAAGCACATCTACGTGGCATTCCTTGGAGCACTGTGATTTATGCGGCATCAAGCATCTTTTAGCGCTCTGGCATTGCCCCCGCAGACTTGTTTGGCTCACATAGCTGAACCCTCGATTCGAGCCAGATTTATGTCTGCCGACGTGAGCGCTTGTCAGTGGGGTGGGCAGCGCCAGGGCACGGAGGGACTCAGTGCCAGGGCCCTCCATTGGCAGTGGTCACAAGCTGCCCTCTTCAGACCTCCCTCTCCCACTCCTCCCGCCCAGTTCTGGCAACCCTAAAAGCAGCAGGGATGGGGGGCCGTGAAAACTCCCAACAACAATATTGTTCCTCCTTGCAATCCAAAGTATTTTGTGATGATTTGGTCTAGAGCGGGATTGCTGGCATGAGCCAACACACCTGCCTGATTTTTGGAATTTCTTATGGGGGGGGGGACACTGTGTGCTGCACCATCTCAGGCAGGAAAGGGTCTTGGGCTGGCCCCAGACCTCTGTTTATTTCTTGCTAGTGCTGCCGAATCCCAGATCCCTGCCTCTTGGGAAGTGGGAAGGCTTGGCCGGCCTGCCAGTTACCAGGGGGTGTTGCAGCTGTGCGTCAGCGTCATGTACCGAACCCCCAGGTCATAAAACATCCTCAGAGTCGCAAGACTGCTGTCAATGGAGTGTCCGCCTTCGATGCCGATCAGGCAGGCTATCTTGTTGCTCCGCACATCAGCGATCCCTGGATTTTAAATAAAAGAACAGATCTTAAAGAGGCAGATTAACAGAGAGCTATAGAAGGAACTGAAAGTTCCCTGGGAAAGGCACTCCTACAGGTTTCCAGATGGAATACCAACAATCAAGAAGGCATGATGACATAACTTCCTTCCTTCCTTCCTTCCTTCCTTCCTTCCTTCCTTCCTTCCTTTTGCCTATGAGTGGAAGACATCATTATTTGGCTCCCCCATAAAATTCCTTGAAAGAGGTGGGTCGATTGTACTATAGAAGCGTAATCTGGGCACAATCTTAAACTGGCTTGATAATCATTCCATTGTGGCACAGTGGCCAAAGGACTGGATGAGCACTTGGGAGTCAAAATCCCCCGGAGTCACAGGCAAGCATCCAATCCCCCCAAAGCATTCAGAGGACTCACTCCTCCCTGTAGCTTCAGGAAGCAGGAGTGAAACTGAGTGGTATAAATTGCAAGAAAGCGGATCTCAGTTAAACATTAGGAGAAGCCTCATAATGCAAGTTCTTTCCTTGCAAGTCTTGTTCCTAGCCTCCTTCCCTCGATCACCAACAGTTTCTTCTAAAAAATGGTGGGGAAAACCCTTTAGCTGATAAGAAACTGGTGATGGTTCAACTTCCATCTGGATCACACTCTTCTAGCTGAAGTCAAACAAACAAGACTGTGAGTCTGGGGTAAAACGCTACTGAGTTTTACAGGCCACGCAACAAAATGCACTTGAAACCCATTTTGGAAAAAAGCTGCGTGAGACATCGTGGGGAAAGGGGAGTGAGAGTTCATGTGCCAAGATGTCTCTCGTGATCCAAGCTCAATGCACCAGAAGGTATCAGAATATCAATACCTGGTTGCACATAACAACCCAGAATACCCAGGTTGATTATGGGCTATCGCTGAATTGTCGATGGTTACTGTGTGTAAGAGCCATGCAACACAATATTGGCTGAAGACAACCCAAAAAGAGAATGCATGGTTCATGGCCAGGTTAGGAGCTACAAGTTGCTTGTGGTAGGAAAGAAAAGAGAATCAAAGGACGGGACAAGCATTTTCTGCCTATGTTGTATCTGGCTACCAACCCATAGTTAAATCATATGCAAGGTTCACACATAACAGCAATCCATTGTTCCACAGCTGTCCACACGCAGGCTTTGCCGTTAGGTTTGAACTGGGTCAAAAGGGCTACAGCTCACCTTGTGAAGATGTCACCAGTTCCAATTCCTCGTATGTTTCACACATCCGTGTGACAACATCGACCTGTTCCAGGGTGAGGCGAATGGCATCTTTGTTCTGAGCACTGCAGGGAACATACACGGACCAAAACTGAAAGAAAAAGCATCAGCAGTGCGAGTCTGTTTCACCCTGTTTCAAGGGTCCCTAGGCTAAGATCACCCTCAGCCTAGGGTGTGTGTGTGTGTGTGTGTGTGTGTGTGTGTGTGAGAGAGAGAGAGAGAGAGAGAGAGAGAGAGAGAGAGAGAGAGAGAGAGACACCCTCTATTTTCATAGGCTTGTCTCCTAAGGAATCTTATGTATCTGCCACCAAACCCTTTTGGATTACTTAGATTTCTAGGAAAAATGTTGGCTATGCTCCGTATTGTGGCAGAGCCGGCACTTGCCAAGATGTTCAGATTAGCAGGGGTGGCTGGCAGATCTTGCCGCTCATGCTGAGCTTAGAATCACAGAACAGTAGAGTCAGAGGAGGCCACAAAGGCCATCAGGTCCACCCTGCTGGTGCAGGTCACCAAATTCCACCCTCCCACCCAGAGGCTGCCCAGTTCCTTTCTGAATGTCCCCAGTGTGGGAGAGCCCCCACTCTCCAGGCAGCTGGTCCCACTGTCGTGTTGCTCTGACCGTGAGGTAGCTTTTCCTGGAGTTTAGTCTAAATCAGATTTCTTTTAACTTAAGTCCAGTATTCTGTGTCCTGCACTCTGGACTGAATGAGAAGAGATCTTGACCTTCCTCTCTGTGACAGCCTTTGAGGGACTTCTAGAAGGCTATCATGTCCCCACTCAACTCAGCCTTCTCTTCTCAAGGCTGAACATGCCCAGTTCTCTCAGTCCCTCCTCACAGGGCAGTGTTTCCAAACCCTGCATCATTTTTGTTGCCCTCCGCTGGACCCTTCCTAATTTAGCTGCATCTTCCTTAAATCTTGGTGCCCAGAACTGCACACAGTATCCCAGATGAGGTCTGACTAGTGAGGAATACAGAGGAACTACTACTTCTCATGATTTGGAAGTCATACTTCTGTAATACTTCCTGAAGGCTTGGATGGGCAAAGAACCCACCTACCTGAGCACCAACATGGCCAGCCTGGAGTTTCTGAATATTAGTGTCTGTGGTGCTGAGGGTCCTTAGGTCAATTGTGCTCAGCCTGTTTTTGTAAAAGCATCTCAGCTTCCATGGCAGGTCATTGTGTCTGAGTGATAAAAAGACAGGAGAATCATGACAGGACTTCTTCTGGTGGTGATGGTGGTGGTGATCCACTCAAGATAAAAGTAGCCCTGGATCAGAGGTATGTGACTGGAACATTTATAAAGCTGTGCTTGCAGACATTGCTGATGGCATCGGCTAAGTGCTGCTACAGAATTCACCATTAGTACATTTCGGCATGAGTAATTGCAATAGATCAGCAGCTCTAGCTTGCTCGTTTGAACTGTCAGCTACAGATATTTTCCAGGAAAAGTCTGTTGAGAGGTGTCACAATGAGTAGCAATTTGCTGACTACAATATCTTTGCAGTACCTCTTCACACAATCCATAATCATCCAATGATCGCTGTTGCTGGAAAGGTTTGGGGTGTGTGTATGTTAGTTGTATCCCTTTTGATGTGTTTCTTGATATCGCTACTGGCAACTGCATTTTGCACAAAGTTCTGCCACCCTTTAGATTTTAAGGAAATAATCTTGCAGTCCTATGTATTTTAAGACTCAGAAGTCCCACGAAATCCGCCAGGTGAACTGACTGGGGCCAAGATTCCCTTCCCCCTCATGCCTGCTAGAGTCTAGGTGGCATTTGGGGGTGGAATTCTGCCCCCTGCTTGGTCACCTGGTTCCGTCCCCACCCATCTTATTTTTCTCCAGACATTCTCTATACCTTTGGTGCTTGGAGGGAGAACTCCAAGCCCCAGTCAGTGGCCTGAGGTGAGAGTAGTGAGTATATTCTTTGGCCCCAGTTGGAAGGGAGAAGAACGGATAATGGAATGCCCTGATCACTAAGCGGACTACTTCAGTGGCCTGGTCCAGGTGGTGGGACTAAGAGGTTCCTCCAAGGGGGATTTGCAGGCTGGGTTAAGCTTGCAGGCTGGAGTCTCCCCACCGTTAAATTCAGTGTCAGGAACTTTTTATAGGATTGCAACCTAAGTTAGACAAGTTCTAAATGAACTTTTTCTTTGGACTATTTCCCCCTCCCTTTTTTGTACAGTTTAAATACAGAAGACATACAATACAATCATCAAAGAGTTGCTTTTCAATGTTTCCTTGAGCTGATTTCCTGATACTTTCCTCCCACATCTGGTTTATGGTGACTTTTCAAAAATGCAGCTGCAGCATCAACCCGGCAGGCAAAGCACTCCCAAGGTATTTTTAGGTTAATTGTTTATTTAAACTGAACCCTTCCAGTTTGATGGTTATTCCTTCCCAGGTATTTCTTCCCTGTTCAGTGGAGCTGCAGGATTAGACACTTACTGCCTGTCGTACTCTTTTGTTTCCCATGGGGCGGGTGGGTGTGGGTGTGTTACATTACAGGTATCTTTCTATTCTTTACTCCCCCACCCCACTTTTGGAAATAGGCTGAGGGTCAGGTGAACTAAGGATCTGGGCCACGCATTGCCCACGTCTTCTGGCCAGGCAAGTGCAGTGCCAGCTGGGCAGGGCAGCCCCAAGCCTGCGCGAAGACGCCTCTCAATTCCATTCCCAGCTGCCCAGGGAAAGGCGACGCTTCAGGAAAACACATGGGAAGATGTTGTGGGGGAAATATCAGCTGTATGTGCATGCATATCCCATATTTTCCCCTCTTGCAATAAATGCACAGCGGCTTATATACCTGGCATCTTCATGTTATCCTTGCAACAAGCTAGGAAGTGGTTGGGCCGAGAGGAAGAGACTGGGCCAAAGTTAGCCAGTGAGCTTCTTGAGCAAATGTCAGGGCTGGAGCCCTGATCTCCCGAGTGTCAGGTCAGCCCGCCAAGCTCCAAGCCTCCCTGGCACTCGCACTAACACTCACACTCACTCTGCCCCTCACTCCCAGAGGACCCCACTGTGGGGCACACCTGCCCGGCCGGCATTCAGCCCGGGCAAGCTGGTCACATCCCCAAGCCTCATCACGGTGAGCCAGGGCTTTCCACGTGGCCAGGGATTGCGAATTCCCTGCGAGGGCTCCCAGCCCAACCCCGTGTAGCCCAGCCCCCTGGGTAAGCTGGGCATCATCTGAATCCAAATGTACCCATCAGCAACTGCAGTGGAATTTCGATCCAATGGACAACTGCCATTGCTCCGTGGTCAGCAAAAGGTATAAAAGAGGACTGCTCATATCATACACTCCGGGTTGATTGTCCTTTCACTGGGATTGAACTTACTTGTGAGAACAAAACACAGTTTTGCTCCTCTCACTCTTGTGCATCATTGGGCAATGTCTGCCAAGTCTGGGCCCCTTGCATCCAACACCAATGTAATTACGATGAGCACTTCCTGCCCATTTGAAAAAATTGCATCGAATCACATGAAGCAGGTTCCAAATATGGTACTGCAGCAGCAGCTATTCCTCATAGTGAGGAGAACATCAGAGAATGAGAAAGAACCTGTTTTAAGACCCTCAAGACAAGTTTTCTTTCTTTGCCACTTCTTCAGCCATCTTTAGAGCTCCTGCACCCCACCCCGAAAAAAGAAGTCCTAGCATGGAAAGTCAGGCTGAAACACAGTTCGTGACGCGGGAGAAGGTGCACCTGCCTTGAGAGCAAGAGTTTCATTGCTTGATCGTTTGAGGACAGGTCCCAAAGCGCCCCCCCTGGCCCCAGGTTCAAAATGGGCTCTTCCAAAAGCTCTTGCAAGGTCCTCACG